ACACAGCACAAAACGCATAAAAACTCGGCGTAGGAATGCCAAAAAAAATGTCAGTTGCAAGCTGACTGGGGCAGAAGATAGTGGCGCTGTTTTAGCCATTAAGCTTCGTTTTGGAAACTTGATCAGCCATCCGTGGTATCTGTCGTTTGTTCGTAGCTCATGAACAGCAGACGCCGCGGGCTGTTTTAGTTTTGTGTAATGCGAGATTGGGTGAGCTTCTTTTAAGGGCCTCAAATTGCAGGAGGATTTATCGGAGATGGAAAGACGAAAACGGGTACAGGAGGTGCTGGAGTCAAAGAGCTTCTGCAGGGAGCTTGAGGAACTGATAAAGCAGGAGAGTGAAAGCCATAAAAGTGACCCCGATCACTTGAAAACGCTGCAGCGCCTCTCCGAATTGACCCTTCCGCATGGCCAGATTGCAGCCTCCAGTCTTCATAATATCGGTCTGTCTTTCATTCTGCCCTTTCCCAAATTTAACTCATACTTCTGTTTTGAGTCCGCTTGTAGTAGGTTGGTTCCTTTTCAGTGCTACTGGCTTGATTGAGTAGTCACTTGACAGGCAGTGTCGCGGCGACATCGAAAAGTTTACTAGCTGTTTCCTAAAATGCTGTCATTCCTGCGCCCCATGAGAGTATCTGACTCACACAGCAAATGAAGCAGAAATGAGAAAAATCTGTTTTCTCAGAAGCTCAGGGATCCTGTGTAGTTTTTACTGCGCAAAGATTGATAGCTGTTAAAATTTTGCTTGAAAAAATTCTCGCCTTTGTACATCATAAACACTGTCGTGCATTAGTAATAAACGGAACACTTTTAATAAGAGGAGCTTTTAGCGGAGCACCTTTTTTAATTTTTTCGAAGTTTTTTTTTGCGAAAACATAGCTTTACTTAAGGAGCCGGTGCTGTTTTGCCGATTGCCGATCTGCGAGGAAGTGATAAATACACGAAACTGGAGAAACTCCTGAGGAACAAGTTGGCCTCGTTATATCGTCTAGCCGACCTTTTTCAGTGGTCACAAGGAATATATAATCATATCACTGTGAGTTTCGTGCCTTCTTTTCCCGTGGTTTTACTGCGTGACCTTGACTGTCCAGTGCAGAGTCCTGATTTGTGCTGTCACACGTTGACCGGCGGCTGTTTAGCTCCCACCGCTGTTTCTTCCTAGGCATTTTCTTCCATCTTCGATGCTATACGCTGTGACCAGCAGCGGCTTGGACATGGCCTGACCGTGCTCATCCGCTCGTCTGCCAGAGAATTTTATTATCTGTTTGGTTATGAAAGATATCAGTTCCACTTTGATCAACGACCATTTTATTCTAGTACACCTTCACACCGCCCGTGGCACAGCTGCTGTGATTGTATCAGGTGAAGCTCAGCCCACTGCAGATGAATGATTTCGTTTGTTTTATCTTCGAGTGCGGGAAAGAAGTGCTGAATGTCTGTCTCTCTTTTCTCTCACAACTTGTAGGCTGGGTCGTTTCAGCAGTCAGTGATTCTTTGCACGCTTTCCCGTAGACTAGGATCTGTTAGTACAGTAACAAAAGGCCGGAAAAATGTCGTTGAAAATATTTCATTTATTTTGGGATAGAAATTTAATTGTTACTTTCAGTTACGATTGCCAGATTCCGATGAAATCTTGATCAATCCGTTCGGCCTACTCTACCATGAAATT